ATATATATATATACACCCCGCACATCATGTATGCCAGGTTCGGCTGCCCCTCCTGCTGGCCCAGGAAAGCCATGGTGGGTGTTGGTGGCAAAATGGAAGGGAGACCAATGAACATACATAATGTGAATGAACCCAGAGGTGATGATGAATTGGTCACTTCCGGGATCACAGAGGCTTAATCAGCTTCAGTGGAGTAGAAAGGTGAGATTAGCAATCTACCAGACCCCTAATGTCTTCTTAAAGAAAACCTGTCACATATAATGTGCTATTGGCCCCCTATGTGATAGCAACCAAATAAAAAAATACCCCCCTAAAAAAAATTCAAAGCCCACTACCCCCATGTACACGCATTTACATAGCCTAACACATATGTTGGGTGTATCTATGTGCACCCGTCTTTCTGCCTTGAGGAAGGGACCCTGCGCGGCCCCGAAACGTCGGCTTTTTGGATCACTGTGACGTCTTGTCCAATAAAGGGACATATTCATCTTCATTATTGAGTGCTGGTGATTTGCTTCTTTATCCTGTGTTTGCACGGCGCCATCCGTGGTTAACATTACGAGCACCATTTTACTTATTGGCCGGGACTGCTGTGAGGTGTGCGGAGAGCTCCTCCATCAATCTACTATCATTTCGCCACACGCCAAAATGAGAGTAATAATTCTAGGGTCATTATTCATGGTGAATTCTTAAATGTTGACCTGTAAAAGGTTTTAAAGCATAACCTATGGACAATTTGCAAAAACATCTGACAATGTAAGGGTTAAAATGCAGTATTGTCTATGCTGTGTAATCCACAATTAGCTACTGATATGCATAGCTAGTTTTTTGCTTACTGAGCCAAAAAGAAGTAAGGTTTTTTATAGTTACTTATTATGTTGCTTCATTAATTTATTCATTTCTTTATTCATTCTTTAGGTACTTACAAGGATACGTGTTAGGAATCAATGCTTCTTTATCCTGTGTTTGCACGGCGCCATCCGTGGTTAACATTACGAGCACCATTTTACTTATTGGCCGGGACTGCTGTGAGGTGTGCGGAGAGCTCCTCCATCAATCTACTATCATTTCGCCACACGCCAAAATGAGAGTAATAATTCTAGGGTCATTATTCATGGTGAATTCTTAAATGTTGACCTGTAAAAGGTTTTAAAGCATAACCTATGGACAATTTGCAAAAACATCTGACAATGTAAGGGTTAAAATGCAGTATTGTCTATGCTGTGTAATCCACAATTAGCTACTGATATGCATAGCTAGTTTTTTGCTTACTGAGCCAAAAAGAAGTAAGGTTTTTTATAGTTACTTATTATGTTGCTTCATTAATTTATTCATTTCTTTATTCATTCTTTAGGTACTTACAAGGATACGTGTTAGGAATCATGGGGCAGCTTAAAATTAACTTTTGGCCAGGCTATGTACTGTACATTGAAGTATTTACATATTCTAAGCAGCTGGGTCACTGTGGGAGTGGGGTGAGCTCAGAGAGAATGACTTGAATGGCTTTACTGTGTCATGTACCTGGAAGGAGACCAACTTGAACAGGGAGCTGCTCCTGCACCACTTGCCTGACTCCCCTGGAGGTGGAGACAGGAGGAGTGTGGGCTCAGGGAAGCCGATGCAGTGTCTTGTGCAGCTTTGGTACCATTGCTAGAGTGCGATGACCTGGAGGCGATAGACAGAACAGGCAGCCGACTGAGCAGTCTAACAAGGCTTTAGCTGGATTTGGCTGGCAGAGCACGATGTCAAAGTAGCAGAGCCTGAATGGAGCTACTGGAAGATCAGGATGGTAGTCGGGGTCACAAGCCAGGGTCATATACTGTATGTCAGGTATACAGAAGTAGTGCCAAATCGGTGGATGCAAAGGATACGGGTCACAAGCCAGGGTCAAGCACAGCAGAGATTGAAGCCAAGTTCAAGGTGCCAAATTGGTAGACAGGAGAGAGGTCAGGAACGTAAACCAGAGACAAACACAGGTCAGCAGAATCACAGGAATGGGCAACAGGAACACAGGGAACAGCTGAAGACAAGTCAGCAATGGTTTCAATACTCACATTAAATTTATAGTCCATTTGGCGCCAATGAGCAGACTTGTATGTGTGCGCATGAACATGTGCATCACGCTAATGTTTGCATGCAAAGTCTCCAACGTCAGCGCCTTTGTGCATATTTCCGTGCACATATCCATACTCACGATTTCCAGCATGCACGCCTGTGTGCACGATTCAGGGCATGTTTGCCCACAATTTTGAGGATAGGACCGCATGCTCGTACCAGCCTCTTTGTGAGTACCTTACTCACTACTTCTGTTGTGAACTTTGAGGAGGAGCTGCTCCAGTGTGACTGCAGACACGGTGGCCAGTGGGGGCTTGTTTTCAAGTTAATTTACTGGTTTTTAAGAATATGTACTGAATATATTATTCATAACCTGGTCACAGGTTCATTTTAAGCTAACCCTACTGGCCCAGACTTCTCTTTTTCTGGTCACAGACTCCAACAGTTTAGAAGAGTAGAATCCCTGTCCAGCTAGGAGATATAATGTCATCTGGTTGGATGTCCCAATTGACAATGTGGAAGGAATGTCATGTATGGTGTTACTTATTATGTGTTTTAAATGTTTCAGGTCACAGCAGGTCTATATACATTGAGAGTGGCAGTGTCTGGAGAACATGCCTCTGGAGAAGGATTTCTTAATGTTACCATCAAGCCAGGTAATAACTGAGACATTAGGAATGGCTTTATTATATGTATTTTTTTATTTGAAAATATTATGCTGTGGAAGTGTACTTTGTAATGTTTACCCCTGTATATGCTTAGGCGCTTCTCCTGAAACAAGTGCTTCTTTTACACTGGTAGTATACATACCCTAGAGCAGGGGTCTCAAACTCAATTCACTTGAGGGCCGCTGGACAAATTTTCTTCTCCCATGGGGGCCACTTGCCAAATTTTATACTTCAATATAAAATGTAACTGTATTTAGTACCAGTGATAATATTTGCGTGTGTTTATAATGTCAGTATGTGTTTGTGATGGTTTCTACATATATTAATGTCAGTATATTTTTTGAATGGGTGACAGCTGCTGCATGTAAACGTCAGATTAGGGATTCCTGCTGCAGGAAAATGCAAGTTCCTGATGCAGGAATCCCTAATCACACCTGAACTTACAGGTGTGAATGGGGCCTAATATACACACGGAAAAATGCAACCCCCTCTCCACACACACACTAATACACAATAATACATTCACATCCCCCCTGTTCCCTGCACCTGCTGATACACACTCATATAAAGTTAAAATAAAGAGCCCCCTCACCTGCTTACATTATTGCAGGGAGGAGGCACAATCCCTGGTGATCCCGTGGTTGATTAGTAAGGTCTGCACCTTTAGCTGGTGCAGGCTTTACTAATCCATCCTTTCGGCCACCGCTGAGTGAAGACTGTCAGAATTCCGGGTGAAAGCAACAGAGTGCTGGCACTGACAGGAGCAGCTATGGGGTCTGCATCTGACAGAGAATCAGGTACGCAGTCCGTGACTGTGGACCATCTAGTACTGGTTTGCAAGCTGGAATTGGCCCGCGAGCTGGTACTTTGAGACCCTTGTCCTAGAGAGTACTTCTGTAAGGTAAATTAAACTCAAATTAAGTTCACATTTTTTAAAACAACCACAAAGATTTTTTTTGTAATTCAAAGAGTCTTTTATTAAATTGTATATATGTTTATAGTTTGCAGATAATATCTCTACAGATTTTAGGGGTGTACTTAGCAAACATTTGCTTTTCTCAGTGGATACATACTGTGATAAAAAGAGATATAAAACTGTTGGACACCAAACCTAAGGATATAATCCTTTTGATGGACAAGTCTGTCCATATGCAGTCTATCTCTTCATGATAAGCAGCACATACTGTACATAGATTATTTTAGTACAGTAAAAGCACTTTTTTTATATGCCAATACCTAATAGAATGAAGTACTCTACAGAAATGCATCCAAGCTCTTAGCTTACCTCACTACAGTAACTGAATCTGATTGGTTACTATTAGCCACTGTATTGTGCCACCCCACCTCTACCTAACTGATTTGTTAGCCATAGTATTACGCTAACAAGAGCAAAATGAATAGCAACACATGGCATGCTTAGGGTGGAGGCAGGTAGGCTGACAACCTGGCATAGTTTGTTTCAATACATTTGGGGCCAACATTTAGAAGAGTTAAGAAAACTATTGCCCTACTCTGCTAGCAATTCCATTTTGGACACATTAATCCAAAACCTGTAGGTATATGTACACTAATCAACCACTAAATGGGCACAAACTGTACAGAGGCAGGCAGAGTCAGTCCAGGACTTTTTATAATAATTGGGAAAGTGTTATTGACAATCCATCCAATGTGCTGGTGGCTTGTTTCCTTCCCTGGCAGCCCTGCTGCCCCACAACCCCTTTCACTGTTTTGAATTCACATCTAAGGAACACCAAGGACCAAGGTAGGTCAAAAAACTGTAGAATAGTTAGATTTTTTTTTTTTGCTTGTACATTAATGACCATACACTATTTTTATCTGTTATTACATTATATTAAAGATTTGATTTCAAAACTGCATGGCCAGTCTCATAATTACCTGATTTACTTCATTTCTCTAGCAGCTAGATTAAATCTGGGGCCAGTCGCAGTTGTGTCTCCAAGAATACAGGAAGTGTCTCTTCCTTCAACATCTGTCTTCATTGATGGACTCCGTAAGCATGTCTATTTCCTTCCCTTTAAAAGGTGCAATATTTATTTTTATCAAAGCACTGAGTTATCTTATGTCTCCAACACAGAGAGCAGCGATGATGATAAAATCATGGCATATCTCTGGGAAGAAATTGCAGGACCTTCACATGACTTGAAGACAATAGGAGAGGAATCAGTTTTACCTCTCTCTGATCTGGAGCCTGGAAATTATACATATCGGTGAGAATAATCTCATGTTTAGTTTACTAATTTGTATTGAAATTTTTAGTCTATTACGGGAGTGAGCTTGGAGTGGTTTCCTACTTTACAACACACACAGGACCATGGGGAACAAAAGTAGCCACCCTCCAGAAGGAAGGACAGTGTTAGCATGCATTCAGAGACAATTTGAGGATCTACAGCTGAGTGATACACAAATAAGATACATTTTTGTTAATAGTTCAGGTACTTGAATATATTTTTAAGATTTAACTCCTGAGTTTAGTGTCACTTTAATTTAATTTACAATCACATATTGTAAAGACTAATGGCTAGCTGGGGTATGGCATGTATTTTATTGGTTCCATGATTTTTTTAGGTATGACCAGGGCCGGATTTCCCACAAGGCCAACCAAGGCCCGGTCTTGGGGCAGCAGGGACTAGATGGGCAGCAGGGGTGTGTAATTCCTATCTCCTGATGCCCAGGACATGCAGTTCCAGGCACCGGGTGGGTAGTTGTTTTCTACATTTAGCCCTGCTTTGGACAAGCAGAGCTAAATGTACAGCGGGGAAGCCTCCGCTTGTGTTGTACAAGTGATCCTGGCGATGTTCCCGAGATCACTTGTATGCAGCCTGCAGGTCTGCCATTCTCCATGGGGGGTGGTTGGTGGGTAGGGGGCGCATTGAGGAACCTGGCCTTGGGGCAGCAGAGAGAGTAAATCCAGCCCTGGGTACGACAGTGTACTAATCTTAAGTGTGTTGTGAAACTAGATTTACATATGTTTTCTTCTTTGACAGGTTGACTGTAACTGACTCAGATGGGGCTACAAATTTTACTGAAGCCTCTGTAATAGTTCACAAACCTGTAGATAAACCACCGATTGCCAATGCTGGACCTAATCAAATTATAACACTTCCCCAAAATCATATCGATCTGAATGCGAATCAGAGCAAGGATGACCATGAAATTATAGGCTATGAGTGGTCGCTGAGCCCCAGCAGTAATGGGAAAGTAGTGACTATGCAGGTAATACAGATAATTCTTGTGTCTGTTGGAGTATTTGTGGACAGTATCAAATGTGGACATATGTCTCATGTAGAACATTGCGGACAGAGAAATTCACTCTATTCGCTTCTCCATAGAGTTGGTTAATCACATCACAAAAATCACATAATGAAAACCTGTCGTTCATCATCCAATAAGATATTTACTCTATTTTTTCCAGTGTAAATGTGAATGTGAAAGAATTCGCAGCAGAAGTGGATGCTGCCACTTTTGGGTCGCGACCCACAGGTTGAGAACCGCTGCTAGAAAGGGACAATGTAAACCCGATTGGGTGGAGCTCTGAATGCTGATAGGGCATTGGCCAAGTGTGGGTGGTGACAATATTAGTAAAAGAAGGACGGAACAAGCCTAGTCTACGTCAAGCTCGACCTCCTGTGTGTCCCCGGTCTCCCGGCCAATCATAGGTGCAGGAGGAGGAAACAAAAAAGTGGTCTGTGTCACTGTCCAAGTGTCCCAGAATTACAGGGACTGGGGACTGATATCACCGATATAGCGGTGCAAGGGGGAGGGAGAAGACGAGGGTCAATAACCGGCTCATAACACATAAGAAATGATTTAAATGATAAAAAAATTGGATAAAAAGATTAATAGAAGATAAATCAGAGACCTCCATTAATATAACAAACATAATAAGTAAAAGGGGGCTTCTAAACAGGGGGTTAAAAGGGAGGAAGCCAGCTCAAGACCTTCATTTAAACCTGTGGGATGAAGACTACTGAGAGAATATATCCAAAAAGCTTCTTTCTGGCATCATTTCTTAAATCTTAAGCCCTATCATCTCAATCCCGAAAACCTTTTACCCTTCAGGATTTGATTTGTGGGCCTCTAAAAAAATGTTGTGGAAGTTAATGGTCATCTGCTTTCTTGAGGATCTTCCTTTTATGTTCCCCAAATCTGATCCTCAATGTTCTTGTTGTGCGCCCCACATACAGCTTACCACAAGGGCAGATGATACCATAGATGACGTATTGCGATGCACAATTGATAAATTGCCTAAATGGGAAAGTTTGGCCCCCAGAATAAGAAAGTTTGGCAGTAAGTACATGCGGTTGATCCACGCTTCATGGATCGCTTTTCAGAGGGAAGGTAAAGTCTACCACCTCTGTGAAGGAGGTCTAAGTGACAGAGATTGTTCATTGTTATTTTTTTGTGACAAAACAGCCCCGATGCTGGAGTTTTGGGTTAACTGTGGTTTGAACTTTGTGTTGCACAGGGTGAACGCTCCCTATACCTTCAAGCTAAAGTAGAACAGGCTGGAGAGTATGTATTTCAGCTGACAGTGACAGATTCCGCCAAGCAGAAGTCTACGGCTCAAGTGACTGTAACTGTGGAGCCTGGTAGGTGAGGCGACTAATCATATATGTGCTTCTGCATGACTGGCTGAGGGGGCAAGTAGTTGTAAGCTCTGAATGTTCACTTGTTACATGCGGTATGATTTTCTATGGAAATGAATGCCGGCCTGGACAAATCACGCAGAGATCTAATAGCCAGCTGAAAAACCGGGAGTACCGATATCGGGGTACAAGTACTCGCCCAAATACTCGGTATCGGCACTGATACTAGTATCGGTATCGAGGCATTCCTAGTGTGTTCAGTGATTAGGTAAACCCCATTTCCACTAGGCGCCATCTAGTGGCAGCTGGTGAAGCTGCAGTCAGTAAAACTGCATATAAAATGCTTAAAGCAGAAATCCAGGCAGAATTTTAACTAACCCTTGCAGTTTTTTAGCACCCTTGACTAGGTGCTAAAAAAAGGAAGGTTATACTCACTCGATTCTAGGAGCTGGTTTGCTCTTAGACCAGTCCCTGGAGCCTCTCTCCCCCTCCGCTCCAGCGGTTTAAGGTCCCATAAATCATACACAGTGTATAGACGTGAGGATGCTGAGCAAGATTCCAGCGCTGCTGCATAGGAGGAGAGAGGCTTCAGGGATCAGAGTAGCAGGCAGCAGGCTCGGCGATTCAGGTGAGTATAACTTTTTTTAGCACCTAGACAAAAATGAGCAGTTAACCCTTGCAGTATGGGATGGTAGCCCCACTGCATGGGTTAAGAACACCTTTGCCCAAAGTTCTTCTTTGAATAGCTGGTCGCTCGAGAGAGGTTTTTTTCATCCTCATGGTGACCTGGCGACCAGGATTTTTCCAGCCCTGAACTTAGATATGCATTTGTGTGCCATGTGTCTGTAAGAGAAAATGTGGTGTGTAGTTATATGACTAAAGATATAAGGGATGCTTTTAAAACGAAGTTAGTAGCTTCTTTTAGCATACAACAAGTTACTGTTCCATCTGTGAACCTGTTTAATTTAAAACTAAAAGCCCTGCATATGACTATTTTACCTAGGAAAGAAAAACCCCTCAGATGTTGGCTTCACTTTGTTGCTAGGGATTTTACTGACTTGCGGGCCCTGCCTACCTTCCTTCACCTTTTTCAGTGAGACTACCCTTAATGGACACTAAAGTGATTTCAATGAACAAGTGGCTGATAGTTGGGCAGGGTTTAGGTCAGAATGCATGAAAGTGAAATAAGTAGTAGTAAAGTGAAACCAATATCCAATGGGTCCACCGGTCATTTATTCAACTAATAAGTTAATGGAAGACATTTTATGATTCCTACTCTTAGACAGTTTTAAATGTGTAAAACGGCTGACAGGTTCCCTTTAAAAGTTCCCATAAATGGTTCATGCAAATTGGGTTCACTTTAACTCCATTATAATGATGTACATGTGTATGGGCCAATATACCATCACAGTCAACTCCATACCAATAATTATTTTGGTATGAAGATCCTGGTTCTAAATTGAATGCACCTTTAAGTGCGTATGGCTGTTGCCTAGGTGCTTAATATGTGCCCTGCCCCGACCTTAAGTTTGCCTTGTCTTCTGAACACATCCAGAGCATTAAAAGTAAAACTGAAGGGAAAACTTTTTTTTTAAAGTTTTGGATAGAGTCAGAGAGGGTTATAACCCGTCAGGTTTTTTTGCCATCTGTAACCTACTTTAGAGATTTCCTTTTACTTCCTCTCTGATAGCCACAAAAGGGAGTAAGGGGAAATCTCTCCAAAGTGAGAGAACTCCTGGTAGTGGGCAAGGTCATCACAACTAGTGTCCCCATGAGAAGATTTCCCATCTATTGCTTTGATGACAACCCAAAATTTGGGATTCTCTTTGACTTTCAGTTTCAGTGATAACAGTCAGCAGCACAAATATAGAGTGCAAAACTCCCTCACTGTTCCCTTTCCACTTTATCCAAAACTAAAAGAATTTTTTTTGGGTTCAGTTGCATTTAATATTACATGTATAGTTCAGTTTTAGGATGACCTGAGTGAGCTGGATCCTATAGGCCAGGGGTAGGTAAACTTTGTCCCTTCAGCTGTGGCAAAACTACAAATCCATTCAGGCCTCTGGCCCTGGGAGTCATGCCTGTGGCTGTAATAGTCTTGCAATGCCTCCTGGGATTTGTAGTTTCACCACAGCTAGAGGGCAGAAGTTTGGCTACCTCTGCTATAGACTACAGACTCTTCAGGAGACTAATATGGTGCCAGAACTGTAAATTCGTCTTAGCTCTGAATGTTATTGGCTGTTGTTGGTTGTTCAGTAGCATCCCAGATCTCCTGCACAGGCCATATGCCTCATAAACAAATGGCTATCACTCTGTTGTTATATTAGTTATATTTTATTCCTGCAGAAAATAATAGTCCACCTGTAGCAGAGGCTGGGCCAGACAAAGAACTGACTTTTCCTGTGGAATCTACAACATTGGACGGAAGCAAAAGTAAAGATGACCATGGCATTGTGTCCTATGAATGGGAGAACCTCAGGTATTAGCTTATAAAGCAGCATCACTACAGATTGTCCCCGAAAAGAATCAAAAGATAACCAGACTTGATATTATTTATTGTCTGTAAAGTTATAGATGCCTGTCCATGCAAGACAAAGGAGGATGTCTAGGAAAGGATGCTCATCCATATGATTTTAGCTTTTAGCTATGGAGATAATTGTTCTGTTACATTACAAATATCAGAGACCCTTATGCTCTATCTTCCATATCTCCTACAGGGAAATTATAGTGTATGTTTAGTGAACACATATTTTTAGTTATTATTGTATGTTATAGGGAACCTCTAGAGGTGTTAATTGTGCCTAAGTAGTACCCTAAAAATTTGCTTTTTATCTTGAAGCCTCCCGGTTCCCTGATTGGCTAGGAAGCTGGCTTCACTTGTTGCTAGGCCAGGCTGCCTAGCAACAAGTGAAGGCAGCTTCCTAGCCAATCAGGAAGCTGGGAGGCAGGTCATGACGTCCCGCTCGGCATCCTGATTGGTCAGGAAGCCAGACTGCCTCGGAAAGTGAAGCCAGTGTTTATTCAATAGAACACAAACTTCACAGGCAATCAGGAAGCCTGATAAACTGGGCCAACAGTACCCCGGGATGTCGGTATCGGTATTCGATATCAACAAACGCTGGAAAAAAGATATCAGTACTCGTACTTGATGCCGAAAAACCAGTATCGGTGAATCCCTAGTAGAAGGAGTTCACAATAGTAAACATTGTCTTGTAAAGGAATCTACTGCTGCAGGCTTTATATTTTAATCTGTGCTCATTTTGCTGTTTTAACATAAGCGTGTCCCCTTTTTGCAGTGGGCCAACCACAGTGACAATTCAGAACAATGATAAGCCAGTGGCTGTTGTTTCTGATCTGCACATTGGAACATATCGCTTTCGCTTGACTGTCAAGGACCAGCAAGGGTTGAGCAGCACAGCTCCTGTTTCCATCACAGTTAAAGAAGGTAAATACATATTTCATGACGAGGTGTGCTAATAGCTTATGGTTAGACATGGGTTGTGCCTCTATAAATGCTGATTTATAAAATGACACACAAACTACAATATTATCTTAATATACTTTATTATTATTCTAAAAGATCATAATGACTCCTCCACTTAGCGTAATTCATTGTCCCCCACTCTTCCTTGAGCAGAAAGTTAGGTAGGTAGCAAATAACATCATGAGGTGGTCATTCTTTATTTCTTGGTGAGAGTTTCCAGTTTCTAGTGAGCTTAAAGTGACACTAAACTCAAAAGTTAAACCTTAAAAATGCATTCAAGTACCCCAACTATTAAAAAAAATGTATGTTATTTGTGTATCACTCGGCTCAAATCATCTCTGAATTGACACTCTCCTTCCTTCTGGAGGGTGGCAACTTTTGTTCCCCATGGTCCCTGTGTGTGTTGTAATGTAGCCACTACCCCAAGCTCATTCCCGTGCTGGACTACAATCACAATAGAAAAATTAGTAAACTAAATGTGAGATTGTAGTCCATCATGAGAGTGAGAAAATAACATCAGATAAGATACATTTTTGTTAATAGTTAAGGTACTTGAATGCATTTTTAAGGTTTAACTTCTGAGTTTAATGTCACTTTAATGTTGTAGGAGATGGGTAAGGATTAGGGATGCAACGAAATTGAATTTTTAGACCAAAACTACAAATAAAAAAATTTGTAAGGCTGAAACTGAAACTGCTTATTTTTTTCCAACCTTTTTGAAAATGTTTTAAATTATTTTTAAATTATTTTATTTTTTTCTATTTATATTATTTATTTTCTTTTTGTTTTTACTTTACCGTTGGGAGCTTCAATGAAATATCAGGGGTCTGAACAGACCCCTGATATTTCTCTTTAAAATAGAAAGCGGTGTGCGGTGCGTCGAGGAGTGAGCTGTCACAAGAGGCCAAGCTTTCCTCCTGCACTGCTCTGCTCAGCCTCCTGTGACAGCAAGTCAGGATGGAGAGCAGAGGAGTCAGGATGGAGAGCGGGTTACAAACACTCAGCGATCACAGTGTGCTTACTGTTTCCCCAGTTTTGAATAAACCTGAAGTGCGCCACATCACTTCCTGTTTATTCATGTTTGTGGACATAGTGACTCATACTATATCCACAGTTTATAATGGAAAGGAGCACTCATTATAAAGGCTTCCTGTTCATTCCTAACAGGGGCTGCAGAATAAGAGATTGAGGACTCTGTGTCTCTTTTTCTCTTTCAAAAGGGAAATATTAGGGGTCTGATATTTCCCCAAAGCCCCCAACAGTAAAATAAATAAATAAATAATAATAATACAAATTAAATAATTAAACAAATATTCTAAAAAATGTTAAAATGGTTAAAAACGTTATTTTCGATTTTGGCCTGTCAATTTTTTTTATTTTCAGTTTCGGTCTAAAAATTCTATTTGGGTGCATCTTTATTATGTAGATCGGGGTCAGCAACCATTTCCACAACAAGTGCAGTTTTTACAAGCATCAGACAACCTCATGTGCCAGTGAACAATAGCACTATAGTTTTTAATCTTGCCGCTCATAGTTGTGCTGCTAATGGCAAGTTAAGTTAATTTATTATACACAGCACTACAGCATCACATGAGGATCTCAGACCAGCCCTGATTTCTGTGCCTTCAGACCTCAGATCACCCCCAATGTACGTATGCACTTCAGACCTCAAATTAGCCCCAATGCCCACATGCACTTCAGAACTCAGATTAGCCCCAATGCACACATGCACTTCAGAACTCAGATTAGCCCCAATTTCTGTAACTTCAGAGCTCAGATTAGCCCCAATTTCTGTACCTTCAGACCTCAGATCATCCCCAATGCATGCATACACCTTAGACTTCAGATCAACCCCAACAGGCTATGCATTTAACATAGACCTGAAGTTGTTTGTTTGGTGCACAAGCCTCCATTCTGATAAGATGTATTTTCTTAGGATCACATCTAATTTATATCATTTTAGGCATTGGACTTGGCTGTCACATTATTCCTTGCACTGAAAAGCCTACCCCATCTTGGTTTATTTGTCGTTGTTCTGAAATGCAGCTTGGAATGCAATGCAATACAAAATTCTGGGAAATCTACTTTGCAGTTGCCAATAACCCCATGGAAATGTACCTTTGTTACTTCAAATGCCAATATCAAGGTTTGGGGTGCTTACTATAGCACATTTGCAATTTACTTGCTGCTTCAAAAATATGGAGCACAAAACAGCTTTCACCATAACTGGCTTTTTAACACTTTTTGGGGGGAATCACAAGCCAGGTTGAAAATAAGACCATAGTCTCTTGTATTGTGAAGCAATCCTTGTGCATTCTTTTTTATGCAAGGGTACCAAATCTATCCACGTCTATATATGTTATTTCATTTAATTCTCCAAACAGCCCAAAAACATTGCTACAATAAGTTACCCTTTAAGAAATCTAAAAGGTAAACCCTGACTTTGCTAAAATGTAGACCTGTACATTTTATAAAAATGTATTTAGAAAGACTATGACTTAAATGTTTATTTTTGTTTATAGGGAAAAATAGCCCTCCTAAGGCTCATGCTGGTGGAACACGTGTCCTTGTTTTTCCAAATAATTCAATTTCTCTGGATGGATCAAAGTCTGTTGATAATCAAGGGATAGTATCATACCAGTGGAGTAAAGATGGTCAAAGCCCAGCTGCCGGGGTAAGTAAATATAAAGATTAGGACATTCTAAATTGTCCACCCAAATTTAAATTGACACTAAACTCTGGAGTTAAATCTTAAAAAGGCATTCAAGTACCTTAACTATTAACAAAAATGTAGCTTATTTGTGTATCACTCAGCTGTAGATCCTCAAATCATCTATGAATTGGTGCTGACACTGTCCTTCCTTCTGGAGGGTGGCTACTTTTTTCCCATGGTCCCTGTGTGTTGTAAAGTAGCCACCAGTCCAAGCTCACTCTCATGATGAAGTGCAATCTCACGTTTAGTTTTCTAATTTGCATTTAGATTGTAGCCCATCATGTGAGTGAGCTTGGAGTGGTGGCTACTTTACAACACACACAGGGACTATGGGAACACGGATCCAGTAGAGGAGCAGACCTGAAAGAGAAAGTTCTCTCTCAAGTCCGCTCCTCTGCAAATTGGCACAAGGCAGTTGGCGGAGCAATAGCCATGCTGCTATTGGCTATTGCAATTTGAAATAGCCAGTAGCAGGCCGGTTATTGCAAAGCCCACTGCCTTCTGTCAATCAGTAGAGGAGCAAACCTGAGAGCGGCCTTTCTCTCTCAGGTGCTCTCCTTTGCGGGAGCAATAGCCATCCTGCTACTGGCAATTTCAAATTGCAATAGCAGGAAGGCTATTGCTCCGCCCACTGCCTTCTGTCAATCAGCAGAGGAACGGATCTGAGAGAGACACTTACAGGTCTCCTTGCAAACCTGTGACTAGACAGTTAAAGGAGACACAGCATAAGGTCATCTCTCCATCACTCTGCTCTCTCCTATTATCTTGCTCTGAAGCACAGCTGATTGGCTTCATGTTCTTCTTTTCCCTCTCTGTCTGAACTCTGCAGTACAAGAAATGCAAAAATACCAGGTCAAATTCAAATACCTATACTGCCTAAATTTTAAAAATACATTTAAGGCTGTATTAATAAATACAGAGGGGCATCAAGAGCAGACATATCACTGACAGCATTCCTGATTGACATAAGAAACTATTAGGTGATTTAAGTTTCTAGCATTTACCAAAAACTGAAATACTCACTCTTTAATTCCATCTGAGAAGATGAAGTATATAAACATAAAGATTGTAAAAAATTGCATATTTTATTTTGTGAACTGTGAACTGTACAAATGCCATTATTTGCAGGATGTGATGGATTCATCTGAGCACAGACCGGTTCTTCAGCTTGCCAATCTGGTGGAAGGAATTTACCTGTTCCATTTGAAGGTCACAGATGCAAAAGGAGAGTCAGATATGGACACAGCGACAGTGGAAGTGCGTCCTGGTATGAATGTTAATACAACGTTAGGCAGATATAATTCATAGTTTACTTTTTTCACATGCATGCATATACAGTATGTGACTACAATATGCATGTAGATGTGACTACATTTTGACCAATATCAAAGAGAATATTTGATACAATAAAATCTGGATTGTGTGTCATGGGACTGGATCTGTGGCAGGATTGATCATACAAGTCATCTCAACTATTGGCAGCATATACTCACATATACTATTAATAACCTGTTTACATGTTGTACATACATTCTTTATACTGCCACATAGGTCTAAATGGTCTTATCTGCCCAATAATAGGCACATGTATTAATTAGATTTTATATGCTAGATGCATATTTAATTTCAGGTATAAGCCACTTATTACATTCAGATTCCAGTATGCTTGCTCTACTTATTAATGGGTGTTGTTCATACATTGATGCTATCAGTGATCATTGTTTAAGGTAGACGGAAAGGTTTGTCTGTGGATATTGTCATTAAATTAAAGTGAAACTAAACTAAGGAGTTAAATCTTGAAAAATGCATTCAAGTACCTTGTCTATTAACAATACTGCACCTTATTTGTGTATCACTCGGCTGTAGATCCTCAAATCATCTCTGAATTTGTGCTGACACTGTCCTTCCTTCTGAACAGTGCCTACTTTTTCCCCATGGTCCCTATGTCGTAGAGTAGCCACTGATCCAAGCTCATTCCTGTGATGGACTACAATCTCATGTTTTGTTTACTAATTTGTACTGAGATTGTGCTCCGTCACAGGAGTGAGCTTGGAGTGGTGGCTTCTTTAGCACTGACTTTAGTGCAAACTTGACCTGGCCTGGAATTTTAAAAGTAACAACAGCTCTGAAGTGCAGGCGCCATATTTTCCTTGCATTTGATTGTGTTGGTCCTTGATCCTAGGCCCAGGCAGTACATGAAATCCCGTCACCTGCTTCAACTTCTGATATTAGGTCCCATTGCCTGGTGTTCATCTGTGAAATTCCAGTGCTTCTCTTTCCCATTGAAATCTGGCAGCAATTAAGGCTCTTTGTACAGCGTAAGCCTAGGATTTAAGGATCTCCCCAAGGTCACAGGGGTTGGTTTGAATCCTAACACAAATACTTGCAGGAACAAATAAGTGCCTGTACTTTAGCTCTGTCTTAAAACATTTCAATGTCAACCACTTCTTGGTTTTCAATCACTTTTTCCCCTTCTAAATTTATTACTTTTTGAAATGGGTTTATAATTTTATATTCACCTAGTATGATCTTCTTTCTCTCACTAAAGACCCAAGGAAACAAAGCCTGGTTGAACTCATTTTAGAGGTTTCAGTCAGCCAACTGAGTGAACAACAGAAAGACACCTTGGTGAGACAGCTGGCTGTTCTTCTCAATGTCCTTGACTCCGATGTTAAAGTTCAGAAGATACAAGCACATTCAGATTTAAGGTATATGTACAGTTTATTGAATTTGGATTCCATTTAGATGATCCTTGAACTACATAGCTGTTGGTAATATGTATGTTTATCTTAAAACGTGCCATAAGGAGCCCAATTTCACTTAACCAATGTGATTCAAATGAGGATCAGACAATGTAGGGGTGTACATAGGTAACATAATGAGTGCTTCCAAAGTCAGATGCACTTGCTTTTGCTTAACAAATGTACAAGTCGGACCCACTCTTCCCTTAGCTTATTGATAGTAGGGAAGCATATAGTGACTGTACACACATACAGAAAGTTTAACACGACATTCATCTTAGCAGCACAATCAATGTTTCAGGCGAGTGTCAACACCAGCAGCCCCCAAATCCCTGCTAAGAGATTTGCTTCTAATCTTTTGTTGGTACGGTCCTTAAAGGAAGGGTCATCTTCTTTACTGATGGTCAAAGCTTGTAAAGGGGTACACAGGCGGGTCACATACTGGAGGTGTAGACCATTACTTCATGAAATTCTTGTTAAAGGGATAGTACCAGGAACTGCTTAAGGCAAATACTTTTTTTAGGGTAAGAAACACAGTGCCACAATGGCAGACTCTCTTTTAAGGTAGAAAGGGATCGAGAATCCAACAATGAGTCTTCCGGTGGGTCTCCGTCAGGATCAGAGATATTAGGAATCTCTGTGTCAGGCTATGTTGGAGAAGGTGTAAGTGGGATTTTTAAGCCCCTGCAAAAAGTCCACTTCCCCCCTCCCTCCTCCTTTTTCTTCTTCTTTCTTATGTCCTTTTCCTTTTCTTTCCCTTCCCTATCTTCCTCGCTCCCATTGCATGTATTATTCTGTCTCACTCTGGTTTCAATTTCCTTTTCTCTTCTTTCATCTTTCTCCTGTGCATCATTATATTATTGGACACATTGTTCGGGTTACAGCACTTTTCTTCAGGCTTCGGGAGAACGCCCTCCCACTTGGGTGACACACTGGGGACTTGCTTACCTGTTCAAGCTGGTTTGTCTGAAATGTGATCTTAATGATCTAACCAACACTGTGTAAGACCTTGTATTGTGTGACCTGTGCAAGATCTGGTCATTCTGTGCATTGTGCACTATGAAATCCAACACAAATCTTTTGAAAACAAAGAAACCCCTGCAATTGGCCACAAGGTGGACCAACTGAAGCATAAAACCTTGCATACATAATGTAAATAAGGCCCTAATTAGGTTTGTCACCCACAGAAGCAGGTCGCTGTTCTGTTAGGTGCCAGACATGTTGCTAACAAACAGAATTATGCTTTATCTTTAAGGATGAAGGCTACCCTAACTCTGCCAAGAATACTCATAGACCAGCTGAGCTTCAGGGATACCAGACTATGGTTTACAAGGGGTCTGCCATTTCCTACAGCAACCAGTTGAAGCAATGCTGTTGTTATAGCCTGATTTTTGTTGTTTTGTTTTTGTCTTACACTGGAGGCCCAGAGGCTTTTAACTTATGAGTTTGCAATCATGCACCGGCATCCTAATGCACCGGCATCCTAATGCACCAAGCCTTTTTACACGTCATTTGAACTCCTGACGCTGCAAACATGCACCAGCTGCCTAAGCATTGAGCCTCAGAAGCCAAGAAGCTGGGTGTTCATGCGCAAGTAAAGAACTGCGTCATCAAGTGAGAGGAAGACAGGGAGGCAGGAAATATGAAAGAGCGGTTTGGGCATAAATACTGCCTGGCCACTGTAGAAATCATATAAGGTAAATTTAAATAAATGGGAGGGCCTCCCTAGTGTCCAGTTTGCAAATTACATCAAAGTATAAGGCAAGTCCAGTAGTAAAATGGGAATTTTAACCCCTTAACAAAATAGCCAGTCAGCTACAGCTGTTTCTGCAGCAAAAAACAAACATGCAGCCTCAGTATTGAATAGCGGAAGAACCTCAAAACAGCATAAAGCCAGCTAGGTACCCACAACAAAGAGTCTTTAGTGACAGGTACAGGAACACTGCCACAGCTTTGGGCCTGATAACTCCACAAGGAATCTCCAGAAAACACTGGCCTGACCTGAAAAGTGTAGTCCTGTACTAACTGTACCACAGATGGGTAGTCACTAGTAACCATAAGACTGTTGCAGAGAAGACACTAATATACTTAATGAACTGGGAATACCTGCACTTGTTTGCCAACTGGAGAGACTTCCAGTATTTCCAGTACCTGGCCTAAATCTACCAGTAAGTGTTGATAGTAGAATAAAATCTTCTAATTCAAGAAAAAAAAAAATAGCAGAAAGTAAAGTTACACCAATTCTCCTAAGGACACTAAGCAAAACTGAGAAGGTATGAAGTGGGAAGGGATATAGCCTGGGGAAGGGATATAGCCTGGGGAAGGGGGGCTGGCGTTTAGTTTCCAATGTTTAGTTTTCCAGGTTGTCTAATTATCATCAAGCTGTGTCCTTCAATGGACGATAGAGAAAATCTTTACCCTGAACTCAGTAGGTGTGGTACATTAGTAAATACTGTGTCCTGTAATGTGTACTGTAATGTGGCCGATAGTAGGGACAATGTGGCCTTCTAAAGGTTTCAATTCGGTCACTGTTTTATCTGAGCTTGATATGGCTTGTCTAGATGGTGAGATGTCCAATGTCTAGTCACTTCTAAACAATGATTGTTGCCATTGCTTTGAATTAATAGGAATCCTCTTTTTTTTAAACTGTCTGACCATCTATATTCTGTTTACAAAAACAGCACTATGATCCTATTCTATGTCCAAAGCGGACATCCCGTTAAAACATGGAAGGCCACAGATGTTAAACAAACTCTTCAAAACCAGCTTTTGAAGGAAAAAGCAGATTTTCTATTGTACAAAGTGCTCAGAGTAGACACAGCAGGTAAGTTTTCTACATGATTTGTTTTGTACTCAGTACTTTTGTACCTTAGTCCATTTAACCTTTGTGTACCCTAGTCCATTTAACCTTTGCAGATCTATCATCTATAAAGATATGAGGAATGTTTCATTGATGCACATAAAATATTTGCTAAGCACTGGTCCTGTAGGCTTTCAAAACCTGCCCACAAGCATCAGAAGGCAGTTGGGCATGAAGGCAGCATCTGACTATAGAAAGAAAGATGTTTTGTATCTTTGCTAAAACAATGCATTTGCTTGTACATATGAAATAGGGAGAGGAAGCACTAGAAAAACAATAACGAACAGCTGGGAAATTCCATTTCAGTTGCTTGATTTTTACCTAAATATACCTGCATACATTGATCCCACCATAGCCAGCTGAATGAATAAAAGATACTTAGTTCATGATCAGGTTTTTTAACAGTCTCACATTTTACTGATTATGTGTAGGGAAAATATTCACTATAGCATTGTCATTAGGACCAGAGTTTAGCATCAATGCACTAACATCTACAAATGGATCACGTGTACTGATCTATATCTATACAAGATTTGTCTTTGTTTACAGACAACAATACAAACCAACTATGTTCATTTTACTCTCTATAATAGTGTGTCTGCTGAAATGTTCGGGACATGGACACTGTGACCCAATAACAAAATCCTGTCTTTGCTATCCCTTTTGGATGGAAAACTTCATCCAGCGTTATGTCAGTGATGGGGAAAGTAATTGTGGTGAGTACGTTCCCCTCGAATGTTTACTTTGCTTACTTCCCATAATCTCCATCCTTTTATAGTCCTAAAAGAACAACAATTCCTGGAGTTTTCTCTACACCACTGATCTCTGCTTGTGCTTTCTCCATCTTGGTCTATTTGAGATATATATATATATCTATATATATATAGATATATACATATACACACATATATATGTGTGATGTTATTGTTATAATGCTGGATTCATATAACAGACCTGATGCTTCAAACTGCAGTATCATATGCTGTCTGCTAAGTGACATTGCAAGCCTTAGCATATATGATGATAACATTTGATTTATGAAGGATGGTTATTGATTTACAGACATCTCAACTCCGGGCATCTCCCGCTATTAGATAGCGGGTCCCGGACACCAGGGAGAGAAACATTTTCTCCCGGAAAGGTTTAATCTGCTCTATCTTACAAAGCAAACCTTTCCGTGCTGTCTTTTTTTTCTCCTGACATCGCGGTCACCGGTCGACGTCAGTCAGAAAAAAAACCAAAACGGCATAGAAATGAATAGCTAGATTGCTATTGACTATTTCTATTTGCAATAGCCAATAGCAGACTAGCCATTGCACCCGCCCACTGCTACTGTCTATCAGCAGAGGTAGACCTGAAGTTCTCCATCAGGTCCACCTCTGCTGACAACAGCAGAGGGCGTGTCCAATAGCCAGCTTGCTATTGGCTATTGCAAATTGAAAAAGCCAATAGCAATCTAGCTATTACTTCCTATGTCGTTTTTTATTTCCTGACGGCAGCAGCCTCTGTCAGAACACTAAAAAAAACCAGCGGATAGCAAAGAAAGCATTGGCTATCTTTGCTATCTGCCATCATTTCAGGGGGGTGCTCTCTTCCTTGTTGTTGCACCCCCCCTGTGGAGAGAAGGGGGGGAGTTTACAGAGGGCACCTCCCTTAAATGAGTTATTTCAGGTTGGGATCCCTGGATTTTTGAAGGATTATGATTTATGAATCCAAATAGTATAGATGAATAAATCTTAGGTAGATCATAAATAACGTTTAAGTTGTTTTTTGTTTATTTTATGTGGCTATCCAATCGAAGCAAATGAGAAATTAGCATTTATTCACATTTATGAGCATGTTGCAAATAAAAACTGTCTGCATTGCCCAATGTCTTAGAAATAAATTTAAAGAAGAACTCTTAACCCCTGCAATGGGACTACCCCCGAACTGCAAAAGGTAAATGCTCATTTGTGTCACGGTTCAAAAAAGAAAATGTATGCTCACCCGAACCTCGGATCTAGCCGGCTATGACAGCATTCCCTCCAGCCTTTCTCCTCTTCTGCAGGAGCGGTGGTATGTCCCTCTGCATCCTCATGTCCTATACGCTGTATAGAATGTGATTACTTGAGGATTCTTAGACTGCTGCATTGAAGGGGAAGTTAGGCAGAAGGGTCTGGTCTAAGAGTGAGCCGTCTCCAAGGATCAAGTGACTATAACTTTTTTTAACTAGACACAAACGAGCACTTTCAGGGGTTGCCCCTCTGCAAGGGTTAATAAATTCTGCTTTAAGGACACTTTGAGAGACCCTTTTTTGGAGAATTGTTCCCCTTATTTCTTAATGCATTATCTTTTTTAAATGGGTGTAGATGGGGATAGCTCTGCTTGACACAATTTACAAAAAAAAACCATCCCATGAGCAAGATACGTTAATATTAGGTACTGATTTCTTTTGCAGATTGGAGTGTACTCTATATTACTGTGCTGACATTCGCCTTGGTTGCCTTTCTGATGGGCATGGTCTGGGTATGCATCTGTTGCTATAAAAGGTAAAAACACTTACTGGATTAACTAGACTCTTCTGTATTCACCACAATACTATTAGACCTCAGTCTGATATACTGAAACATTTTGGCTACATTTAGGGGAGTTAAGCTTGCCATACACCTTTGTTCAAAAATGTTCGTTTGATTTTCTAATAGTTCATGGGGTCTAACTGACGTTTGTTTTCAATCATAGTGATTAGGATAATTGAAAAAGTAGGATGGAAAAATGTTGGGGTTTCTTATCTAAACAAACAAAATTAAAACCAAGAATGTGATTTCCTTTGAGAAAAATCAAATATAATGCAATGCGAATGTGTGAGGCGCAAAAGAAACCTGTTTAAAACATATTGGATTCCATTCACGTAGCAGATCTGGTTAAGGGTTTTCCAACAAAATGATCTAACTTGATGGCAAGATTGAATGTTTTGATGAACACCTTCGAATGAATGTTCAAATTAAATTTGAATAGTGTATGATCAGCTTTACGTACTGCAAGAACTTTGGTGGCTGTAAAGCTGCCCATACACCTTATAAATATCGGCCGATGGCGTTTTCGTCCGATATTCGTAAGGTTGATGGGCAGTGTGCAACCGCAAATACTGTACAATCGATCGACTTTTGACTAACCAGCAGGTTAGAAAACTTCGGTCGATCGTATGATTTTCGCAAGGTTGGGGGCGTTTCCGTACGTCAAAATTCATACGATTTACACTGCACATGTGCAGGTGAAAATATGTGCGGTCGATTACCGCAATTCGTCCAGGTGTTTATCTGTTAATTACCGCTGATTCAACCTTGCGATAATCGGGGCAGGATGGGGCTGCCTTACGAAAATTGTACGTCGGTTCGATCATCGGACGAAAAGTTTCATCCGATGATCGCAAGGTGTATGGGCAGTTTTAGAAAAGACAAAGCCACAAATGTAATAGATAAGCAGTTTCAGAAACAAAGATTCAAGGAGACGGATCTGTGGGTTTGGTGAGCTCATTTCATACAAGAAGCTTTCATGACACATGCTCAAAGAGCATAGTAATAACACAGCCTAGCAGTAGCTGCTCACTTGTAGACTGCCCCTCTGTAACTGATACTCCATACAGAGCCATGTGACAAGACAAGGAAGGAGGCATGTCCCTCCTCTGCTCATTTAGCATTTGTTTCCTTAATAGACCTGAACAGCAGGGGAATAAAGTAGCAATATAGATGTAAAAACTGCATAGAACTTGCAACTAGCAGACACTAGAGCTCCACCTAATGGCTGTGCAGAGTAATATGAAACATTCATATGCAATATTTTGTATTTACAAGAAATACATCTTTTTTAATCTTTAGTCATAAAGAAATTTATGTAGAAAAAAACAACACATATTTCCATTAATTACCATGCACCCGTCCACTATTTGCAACTGGCTTCCAAGGGTCTATTACAGTAAATAGGCTATTTTAATTTAGATCTAAGTCTTTACCAAAACACATTTCCATTCTGCAATGTTACATTGGTTCTTGACGTAGAGATTTTTGTTTTCACACCAGCCGGAAGAGGACCAAAATAAGAAAGAAAACAAAATATACTATTCTGGACAATTTTGACGATCAAGAAAGAATGGCTCTGAGACCCAAATATGGTACGTAAAAACAAATCAGAAAAATCAGTTGTTTGACATGAATTTAACATTGAAGGTCAAATTTTATGTGTTTTATGATAGTGGATAGGATGAAGGAGACTGTCACAGGAGAAGCTGCACAAAGTTTACTTTAAAAAACATTACTAACAAAAGTGTGTCTGTGGGGATCGGTTGGGATTGCAACAGGTTTGGTGGTGGTGCGGGCAGAAGAGTTGAGGTGATGGCAGGTTCAATGGTGAGAGCGAGGGGGTATGGGAGCCAGGCACAATGAAGGAGGGGTGGTGGGGTGCAGGCATGGACCTGAAGTGGACATGTAGGCTATTGAATTGGAGACCAGCGGTAACCCAAAGCAGCTACATCACACTACATATTTGCTTACGCCAAAGACAATACCACATATGCGCGTCACCGCTGCCCATAAACACACTGCTCCATTTTCATCCACTGTGGCTACAAAACTGCTCCTTTTTTGGCCACCATTACTATAGAACCCCAGTGCCATAATCAAGTTCAAATTCAAAATGTATTTCTTCTTTTCTTTTCAAGGTAAAAGCATTTCACTTGAAATACAATACCACAACTAACAACTAACCAACTCAACTATTGAGCATTCAGTATTCTTATTTTTATCAGGCAATCTCTATTTTAAGCTGAAATGAAGGGGGAACTAAAACTCCATTTTACTTTCTGTCTTCTTCTTTTACACTAACTATAGAAGTATATCAGAGTAGTAACACAACATACTGTATGTGTGTGTTTGTATATCCTGGTCCAACACAATTTTATTCAAAGCCAATACCCAGGCAAAACTATTCCTGCAGCCCATTTTTTAAAACTTTTTTTATAATTACATGGTGAAGTGTTTTATACTCATCTAAGTCCGCCGTCTAGGTCCCTCACTGGTGTCATTTCCTGGTGCCCAATAGTCCCCTTCCAGGGACGTCATCACCTGCAGATTCTCTTCTTGATCTTAAGAGGAACTCAGCGCTGGACAACCAAAAGGACGCGCTGGACAACCATGGCATGCAGGCAGAGACGAGGACACCTGTATAAGGATACCACCCTACTGTAAACAAGAAGAGATAGAAGACTCGAGTCTGGAATGTCACATGACCGTGGTTTTAGGTGAGTAAAAGGGGCATTTACGTAGCGTTTTTCTTCTTCTTTAAATTAGAGGAGGGTAGGGTGTGGGTAGGAGCTTTCAGCTTTAACAGACTTCACATACAAAAAAGTACAGATAAGTTTCCCAATACCAGTCATTAACAAAAACAGGCTTTCTCAGGGGACCAAGGATTCTGTTCCGTTAAGCTGTAATATAAAGCACAAATTCATTGATCTGCCTTTCTTTCTGCTTGACAGGCATAAAGCACAGGAGCACAGAGCACAACTCCAGCCTTATGGTTTCAGAGTCAGAATTTGACAGCGACCAAGACACAATTTTCAGCCGTGACAAGGCAGACCAAGAGAACCCAAAAAATATATCCAGTGGAGCTCTCAAGAATGGCGCTCCTTTTAACTTCAGCTCTAAATGTAGATGAACTGGAGAAATAGTAAAAGAGATGTGTTTTGTGTCTGACCAAACTCAAAGCTGGAAGCCTTTCCTTTTACAGATCTACTGTATCCGATCTTAAAATACAGACTATGATACTGAATAAAAAAAAAAGCTTTTCAGCATCTCTAAGGACAAATCATAAGGGATAAATGGTGTGTTAATCATCAGACTATCAATGTCGCAGTACTGCGTTATTGTTGTCCTGGAAGACGCTGTGCAAGAAAATAAATTGCACCATTCACTTCTGAGCGTGCAAGCAACATTCAGTAATGTATAACAGCATGAAGCAAAATGTTGGGTTAGAGGCACAGTGGTTTTAGGTCAATGGCTATTCAATTATTTTTCATCCCCTGATGCCATTAGGTGTTTAGGGGGCTTTGGCATACAGATGCAATTCACATTACTAACTTTGGAGAACACATAAGGACATCTGTATGCGGGTGCTGGTAGATGGGTGCTTATAAACACACCCGCATCATCTACATAAATCTAGGCAGAGTATTACCACAAGCCTAACAGAAGAATGACCTGACCGTAGTAATGTTCATAAACCCCAATATGATAAATGATCCATTCCACTACAAATTGTGTATTTCTGAAACATTATTATAGCCTCTTTATTTTCATCGCCTCTACTCATGGATGGTGGATATATTTTCATATTTACACTCATAATACAGGTATGTCTATATCCATATAACCTTGAGTAACATATGTCTAAAAACAGTGTAAACATATAACTATAATAAGACAATGTAAGTATTTACCAATATAAAAAGTATAAATTTAACGCATACAAAATCTCCCTTTACTTCCTTTTATTATTTCAGTAAGCTTTAGGAATAGCAAATAAGGAAAAACTATAATTGACAAGAAAACACTACCTTTCTGCACTGAATATCCATTTCAATGTACAGGGTCAGGAGGTAGCCTAGCACTGGCTGCAGCAAAGCTGGCCCAAAGCAATGGAGGTAGAAGTTGCTGCTTCAAGTCCAGCACTAGCTGCAGCAAAGCAGATGGATTATACAACTCTTCCCAGTCACTTTGTAGACAAGTTCAATTTGCAATAGCATTAGCTATTGAAATCAGGGTCCCACTCTGACCTATCTGGAAATTCAGCATCTATAAATGGTCTTATCAGAGCCACATCAAGAGATTGATGTAACCCTTGTTCTACAGCTCTACATTGACTATTCAATATCTATACAAATACACATCTATCACAGAGCTACATACAGGCATCAATGTTGTCCTTATACAACCATATCTTCTATATTGACTATTCAATATCCATATGCCCATCTGCCACATACAGGCATGAATGTTGTCTTTGTACAACCATATCTTCTATATTGACTGTTCAATATCCAGATACTCATCTGTCACAGAGCTACGTATAGGCATCAGTGTTGTCCTTGTACAACCATATATTCTATATTGACTATTCGATATCCAGATACTCATCTGTCACATAGCCACATACAGGCATCAATGTTGTCCTTGTACAACCATATCTTCTATATTGACTTTTCGATATCCAAAAACTAATCTGTCACATAGCCACATACAGGCATGAATGTTGCCCTAGAACAACCATATCTTCTTTATTGACTATTCAATATCCAGATACTCATCTGTCACAAATGTGATGAAGGTCTGCTGTTAAGATTAAGGTCATATGATCATTGTGCTGAAATTCAAATCTATTCAAAACTGTTACTGATTTATATTCACAAAAATGTTGTGCTTTTATATATTTAGTAAACATAGTTTTTCTGACTTACAAAGATACTATGTGCAGTTATTACTTTTAAAATGAATCATTGGAGGTTGCAGTTTGTATAGGTTCCCAAATCAGGCAGGATTTCCAGTTTCAGAAATAAAGTGTACCTAAACCTAAAACCAATAATTGTATATATTGCAGCTCACCAGCCTTTGATGAGCCTTTCTTCCTTTATATTCACCAGGTAATCCCACTTCCTGTCCCTGGTTGGCTATGCTCACTCCTCCATTGTATCTATGGAGGGAGTTATGGTTGGAGCCACAGAGGGAGTCCAATACTGGATTTCAAACATAATTGCCCCTGCTCATTTCTATTACATGTGAGCTGATGGAATAAGTCGTTTATAAAAGAAAGGGAAGGTCTTCTTTTTGTGCTCTCTGTTAAGCTGAAATGACAAGGACACTGCATTTTTGGCAAGATCAACAGGTATTTTCTGTACTTGCTGAAAAGTTTCTTAGGCTAAAAAAATGAAAACGACTGCAGTCAACACATCTAAGGACTGGTACGATGCAATATATCACATTTTCGGTTTTGATTTGAGTTATCCTTTAACTGAGAAAATGTATTTACATTCTGTAGTATTTGTCCCGTATGTTGTGAAATTCAGATCAGTTTTGTTTTTAAATGCTTTTATGCAGTTTGTAAAAATAAATGGTAAAACCAGAAACATAATTGTGTTGTGTGTAGACATTTTATTTCTATGTTCAATCATGTGAAACATTATGTACATCCCATGGAAATTGACTTTTTAACATATCTGAACAGGCAAATATTAGATCTTTATTCAAACACTGCCTACAGATAAAGGTGATATACTTGAATAAGAACACAAGATAAAAAATGTCTTTTTAATAATCTATTCAATAATAATATCAATAGATGTAATGTACTGTGAAAAAAGTAAGTACACCCTTGGTATTAAAAGCTGGTATTGCCCCCTGTAGCAGAAATGACATGTAGGCATATTGTATAACTGCCCACCAGTTTCTGACATCAACGCCATAAAAGGTTTGACTACTTCTCCATCCATAATTCCTTCAGCTCCAAGATTCTTGAGGCTTTCCTTGTATGAACTGTCCATTTCAAAATCTCCCTACAAACTTCCAATGGGAAAAATCAGGGCTTTTGACTAGGGCAATCTATAACTCCCCTATTTCTTCTTTCTGAGCCAATTCTAGATGGATTTGCTGGAGTGCTTCAGATCAATATCAAGTTAAAAGACTCAATTCTGGTTCAGATTCAACTTTTAGACAGATGGCTTCACATTCTTATCAAGCACACTTTGGTATGATGCAGAATGTATAGTTGAAACCTGAAGCAGCAAAGCAATCCCAAATCAACATTTCCACCATTAAGCTTCATGGTTGTTATGAGGTTCTCCTAAAATGCTGTCTTCGGTTTGCAGCAAACATGTACACTGTTACTGTGACCAATCAACTCTATTGATTGATCAGTCTTTAGCACATTGTTCCAGAAGATCTGGTCTTTGCCTATATGACCAATATCAAATGTCAATCTCGCTTTAATGTTCTTTTTGGACAGCAAAGGCTTTTTCTTAATACACCTCTATGTAGAATAAATCTCTCTCAGATGATCGATGAATGCTCTTTGACCCCAACTGTTGCAAGAGTCACCTGAATACCCTGCAATTAAATTTTGGGATTCTTGGTTCTTTTAGCATCAAACATCCTTAGCTTGAATTTGCTGGACTAGCCAGACCTGGACTAATTAGTAGTCGTTTGAAATCACTGATAGAACACCACTTGTAGAATATTTTCCTTTCCAGTGGAATGACAGATTTGAAATTATGCTGTGATCTTTTAAAATCCCTTCCCAGACTCATAGGAATTTACAACTTTCTTTCTGAGGACTTTAGAGAGCTCTGTTAATCTTGGCATGGTGACACCACACATACAGTATCAATAGTAAAGAAAACAATAAACCCGGAATAACTAAGGATTACATAGAAGAGGTTCCACCTGCATACTCCAGGGAGGTACTAGTCATTGGTACCTAATCTGGAACACCAGATTCTAACTTTATGTATTTGAAATGGTGGTAAATGTAGAGGTGTACTTACTTTTTCTATGTCAATTTTATGTGTTTTTTTTTGTTCAAGTATATCATTTTTATCTGTAGGAACTGTTTGAACATAGATCTAATGCAGGGGTAGGCAAACTCTGGCCCTCCAGCTGGTGAAACCATTCATCTGCCTCCAAGAGTCATGCCTGTGGCTTTCAGCCTTGCAATGTCTCATGGTATTTGTAGTTGCAGGGCACCCCACAGCTGCAGGGCAAGAGTTTGCCTACCCCTGATCTAATGTTTACCTGTTCAAATTTTCCATGGGGTGTACTTCTTCACATGAATCCATAGGTTGTAATTATATGTACACGTGAAGGCATTTATATTTCTTCTATTTGTCCTGGTGACCACAGTCACAGAGACAAAGTGAGAAGAAATCACATTTTACAGTTGTCACCATAGCTAACGAGGAATAATCCTCCAATGAAGAGACCTGTTTCTGTGACAGGTGAAATGAATGGCAAATGCACTCATCAATTCATAACTAGCTTCAAAGCAAGGTGCACATGGAAGGGCTTTATAGAGACAAAAACAGACATTTCCCAGCACACTCACCAGCCAGCCTGCAAAAAAAAAGTACACTGTCTCACTACTAAGGGTACAACCGGAGCTTTTAGTTGCACAACTTTTGAGAAACATGTGGAAGCCGCACTGCTTTGTCAAGGCCCCACTGTGTAGCGTGGTCCTAACTCTAATCTATGAGCACCTCCATCTTGGAGCATATTTATAGCAAAAGGTGAATTGGGTGCAGGTTTGCCAGGACGTTACCCGACCTCCTTAAAGGTATAGGGACACACTAGGAGCCCCTCACATCACAATGGCAGCTGCAGCCCCCACACCAAATCCAACGAGTGAAACGAATGGCAAACACACTCATCAATTCATAACTAGCTTTACAGCAAGGTACACATGGAAGGACATAGATTAGAGTTGGACACACTGCACGGAGGGCCTTGGCGAGGCAGTGCGGCTTCCACATATTTTGCAAAAGTTGTGCAACTAAAACCTGTTTTTAACTTTAATAGTGAGCCAGATATTACTTTTTTTTGCAGGCTGGCTGGTGAGTGTGCTGTGAAATGTCTGTGTGAAGCCCTTCCATATGCACCTTGCTCTAAGGCTAGTTTTGAATTGATGAGTGCGTTTGCCATTTGTTTCACTTGTTGGATTTGGTGTGGGGACTGTGAGTATGATAGAAAGCTGTTCATTAACAAAGAATTCCTGTGTGCG